ACCACCACCACCACCACCACCAAAGGTAAATAGTCATAACATGAAGTGTAGCAATTATAGCTTTCACAGCAATGTAGTTACTAATGAAAATCAAACCCATGATGAAAACAAGAGCGGCATTAAGCGTATGTTTAATTCAGGATACAATACGCGCTGCATCTGGTCATGCTGCACCGCGGTGGTTCTGCGGAGATCGTCTCTCGCCCCTCGTCTACCCAGGATTGAAAGGACTGTCAGAATTATGGATTTAGGCGTTCGAGTTCGAGGTTGAGGATTTGGGGCTTACCATTTAGGATTATGCTTTCAGTCAGGCTTTAACACTTTAAAGTTCAGAGCTGAGAGTTTACGGCCATGTGGTTTGGGGGTTTGGTGTGTAGAGTTTACTCTTTTTGTTTTTGGAGTTGGGTTTAGGTGAAGTGGTGTTAGGATGGTTTAGGTTTTGGGGATTGGCGTGATCTGTAGGCGTAACCCAATACAAGTTATGGACGAAGCCCGGCTATGATTGTGGCGTTCAAGTGCAGCCTTGGAAGCCCCTCAACGCCAAATCTTGAAACACCGAAGCACTTTAAACTTTTATGTGCCTTTTTGTGCCCGAAGCTTAGACCTTGTACATACGTGTGCGTATGCATGTACGTATGTATGCATGTATCTCTGTATGTATGCATGCACGAGACTTCTGTGTATCTGAGGATTGATTGAAGCCGAAGCAGATGTGAATGATCGGTTCACCACTCCTGTTTGCAGCGTGCTGGGAGTGATGCTCAGGACTCTGCTAAGCCCTGAACGCTACACCGTAAGCTGAAAACCCCCACACTTTAACTTCATGGTTCTGAGGCAAGTGTTGGGCCAAAGGCCTTGACATGCCCATTCGTGGGAGCCAGTAGTGTCTGTCCGCACTGATTGCAGGAAAGGGGCATTGTGCTTCTTCATGTCGCATATCCAAACTTAGCTACGTAGGTCTCCATCTTGATAGGGACTCTGAAAATAGACCGTGCCCCCCAAAAAGGATCCTGCTTGCAAGCGGGGAACCAACACTGCCCAGAAAATCTGAACGTTACATCCCAAACCCTAAACCTTCAACTCCGAATCGTGGATGAGGACACTGAGCCTCCGGCATGCGTGGAGGACTTTGCTTTTGAAAAGTTTGTCTGTCAGATGAGTTTGTACCTTCATGTTTATACCTTAAATCACGTACCCCAAGTGGACATGTTTTCGCTGAAGCCCAAAACCAGACAATTGGAAAACACAATTTCTGTCATGATCAGTCCTCCCACATTATGGGGTGATGGAGTACCGCAGCCTGAAGCACTTGGTTGGCTTTTCAATTTGGGTTTCGGGTTTTGCGTTTGGCGATCCATTGGGCGTAGAATCCCTGGGACCCGCCGGGTGCCTCGCATTATGATGACCCTTTTGAATGACGGCTTCCCCGTCCTCGCCCCAGATAATCCTGGCCAAGTTGCGAGCTTCGCCATTCCCTAGCATTCGACCCGAACGCTCAAGCCCCTTTCCCCAATCCCTGAATCCTTACAGTTAAGGTTACAGTTTGAACCCCGAGTGTTACTAGTAATAGCAACAGTGATGACACAAACAGCCAAGAGTAGAATCAATGTTCAATAATCCTTAGATACTCTGGGAGGACATCGGCCCTGAGTGCTTATGCCTACCATCATTTTGGAGCCACGCCTCTGATGTCCAGCATCCTTACTGGCACCTTTGAGGTCTGCGGCTTCACAGAAAGGGTATTGGGCTCATGGTTCCGGATTTGGGGCTCTGGTTTTTTGGAGGTCAGAGCTTGGGTCTTATTTGGGTGCGGGATTTGGGGGTCCCGTGTCAGTTCAGCGGGATTCATTTGTTGGTTTGCATTCTGAAGGGCTGGATTTTTAGAGTCCGTTGGCCCCCTCCCCTAATCACAAGGTAGGTGGCCGACCCGCTGCCCCTATATCTTGCACATTATGGAGATGTAGTTTTCAGGGTATGCTTGCTCATGGGCTTATGCCACAGGGCCTGAATATCATACATATTATGCATACCTGAATCCTGAACCAGAACCCTGAACCCTCAACTCAGTGCCCAATCCTCAAATCCTGAGCCCTATGCCCTACAGCGTCACATGTGTATTTCTTAGCAACGCTCCTGCTTCTCAGAAACCCACATGTGTATCCGCAAGCTCGAAGCACCCACGATGTTCACAGCAATATGGTCATGGAGGGCCTCCTAGTCAATTCATTCAATGGCATCCAGTAAAGGCTTTCAAGTGCTGAGAAGCTCTATGCTGTAGTCTGACATGTTTCACGTTTCTAAAAGAGGTCACCGCAATTCTTTTGGGCACCGGTGCGAGCACAGAGCTACGAAATGCACGCGGGCGCGGCCTGGGTGCATTTAGGTCCAGGTTTTAGGCGTCTACGTGTCGAGGTGTTTAGGACATTCTGGGCCTGCAAGGTCTAGGCGCTAGGCGATTTGGAGTGAGTTAGGGAGAAAAGGTTTGAGGCTCAGAAGCTGTGGAAGAAGCATCAAGAATCCGCTCCACACCATGGATCTGTTATCGCCCTGCTCCAGTTTTTACTTGAAACCTGTGCGCGAGGAGCTTGGGTTCTTGCTTTGGAGGTTGGGGTTTACTTGGAGGCACATGGAGATAGATATGAATAGTGGTTCAAGCCAAAATCATATTTCAACTAGGTATACTTATCTATTCCGATGAAAGCTCCACTCGTAGATAGCCATGAATTGTGTATTAGGGGTTTGGCTTGACTTGGGCACGTAGGCTCGGGTGATTGAGAACGACCTGACCCGAATCCCCTCCAAATGATTGCCTTGCAAAAGGTCCAGCCCTACATTTGCAGTAGAAGAAAATAGAAACTTCTATATTATATTGGGGAGAAATGGGGATAATGGAAACAAAAATGGAAACTACTATATGGGCATGCAGTCGAGGATTTTCTTACTGGTGTTAGTTTAGGAGGTGCTGGAAGAAAGCATGCCTGAAATGGTCCTTACACAAGCCTTTCGCATAGCCCTTGCATTGCCACCAGCTACCCAAAATCTAAAGCCCGAAACCTTAAAACCCTTGGCCTCAAACCAAACCCTCAAGCAACACATAGCAAACCCTCAAAGAGTACATAGTAAACCTTGAAATGCCACATGGTAAACCCTTGAATAGTGCATGCTAATTGCAAGTTCCTGATCCCAGGTACGGCCTGGGATCTTGCGGTGGAGACTGCAGCACCGGACTACGTCGTCTCGGCGCTGGAGGTCCATGGGGACTTCCCTAAATTCATGTTGTGGGGTTCCTCAGTGAGACTAGAGTCCGGAATTGTGGGGATCTCCTTGGGACTGGTACGGCGCTGCCTCTGAAATAGGCACGATGCTGTATTAAGTTCCTATTTCATTACAGGTCTCTATGTGAGCCATTGTCTAAGCTCCTGGTATCCCCCTTAAGAACCCCTAAAACAGTCTCATATATAATCCCATATGTATCCCCCTTCGAGGAGTTTAGACTATAGCTCAAAAAGGTTGTCCCATCCCAAACAGTCATGCAGGCCAAGCTCCTTATAGGACATTGTGAGTCAGCTCCAGGCTTGGATTTTTATAGGCGTGAGGATTGCATAGGGGTTGGCAGCTGGATTACGTGTGGACTTGCAAAAGGTAGATAAGAAGCAGAGATACGAAAAACTCGACAAGGATTCAACAGATTCCGTGGGTTGTTGGTGTAAGGCTCTTTAAGTAAGTAGTCGTATTTAGCCGCGCAGGAATGGAGTTGAGCTACAGGCTATAAGTACCGATAGTGTGAAGATGAAGTCAAGGCAGGTGGGCTGAAGATATTCGTTGGCCTATACCTACGGTTAGAGGCTAAAGGGTTTCAGGGTTTGGGGTCCAGTCTAGGATTGGTTCACGGTCACCGGAGAAGAGGAGGGTGCAGGTAGGCTGGGTTGATCTTTCGTCGATTCACTGTGCCGCCTCCTCTCCGTGGCTTCCTTGATGAGGATCCCACTACCTTTTGGAGGACTTGACGTGCTGCGCCTAGTGTTGAAGCATAACCATGTGCACCCCCAAGCCCTGAACCATGAGCATATTGTATCTTGGTGTAGTAATGCCTGTGGCCATGACCGGCAAATTTCGATGCGGTCCAAGTAGTGGGCTTGAGGAATTAAAGATCAAGGAAAAGGATGTGCCCACAACAATCCCCTCACCCGGACTGCATCCCACTAAACCTCGACCCTATACCCTGAAGCCTAACAGACCCTAACATCTGCAATGGTGCAGGGGAAGGGAGATGCCTACGACAGCCTCGTCCTTGCCTTCGCGGACATCGTCCGAGAGATTGGCTTCATCTCAGAAGAGCTCTGAGTTGCGTAGGGTTAAAGGTTTGGGATCTAAGTCTACTCTAAGTTATAACCAGGTACTGTCCGATAGTCGGTCACCTAGCTAAGGATTGGGGATTGGCAGTTGGTTTGCTTTTGGTTCACTTTTTCGTGCCGGGATAGGGAAGGTATGCCGTTATATGGTCAGGGGCAACAAGACTGTTGCCATGGTGTTACGAAGGCGCTTTCCGAAATTACGGGCCCCAAGGGTACCCCGTCTCTTGGCGAAGGAAGTCATGTGCCCTCGCAGAAAGTAGTTACATGTCAACAGCCGTGCAAGCAAAATTGCGGTACAACATGCCAACCCGCTGTGGAGCTCCACGAGTGTTGGGTCTCTCTAGCGGGTCTGGAAAGAGGGTCGCCCTAAATGACATACCCTCCCTTGCCCTCACATCGAAACCCGAAACCTAACCTAAACAGGCATGGGATCCAGAGGGTCCGGACATGTTGGCTTCATTTCAGAGTATGGGACGTTTCTTGGAGTAAGCCCTACGTATTCTGCGAGGGCGACCGCGAAGATTTCCTTACAAATCCCTGGTCTCTAGGTCTTTACAGTGAAAGGTTTTTGTTTATTTGGGACTCTAGGTTTGAAACTTGTATTAAGTGGAACGCGAATAGGCTCAACTTCCAAGGACAGTCTCTGCACTTGCCTTCATGGTAGTTCAGGTCCAAGACTATAGACCCGAAACCCTGGCGCCCAGCTTTCCAAGACCGTGTCCTGTTTGCTGTCGGATCAGACGACAGATCTGAATTGTTACGGGTGTTTCCATGTAGAGGAGGGCCCAATCTAGACCCCAATACATTCCATTCTTTGGTATGGGTACCCACCGAAAGGGCCCCCGTGTTTTGGAAACCTCTCCATACGTTTCAGGAGACTGCCCATGGATGTCGAAGACACTGGGGCTAGTTTCCTCGTTGACTTCTGGTGTTTCTGGGGATCATCGCCTGCGAATCCAAATTTTGAACTGAATTCTGGAACTGATCTAGACTTCATGTTATTCGAGGGACAGGACGCTGGCCTCAAAACCTTAGCCCTAAGCCCTGAGGCCATAATCCCCAAATTCAAAAATGGGTAAGAAGAACCCAAAGAGGCTGAGGCCTTGATGTTTGCTTCATACTGGCCTGCCACAGGGAGCGCCAAAAGGCATGCTTCAAACATGAACCTAAAAAGGGGTCTGTTGGGGTGTAGGATTTGGTATTTTGGGTTAAGGGTCTTTTGGGTTGATGCTTCAGGGTGTGGATTCGGGCTTAGCTTGTGGCTCCATTGCTTTTGCCATCTTATATCTTACAGCCCTGCCTGCTCTGAAGTAATATCCAGGTTGTATGTAGCCTACAGTCCCTTACAACTACTGCTATGGATGACACCTGCATTCTGCAATGTACGTACCGAGACTTGTCCCAAACCCTGAGGATGACCCTGAGCATTGTCGCCGAAATAGAAGCAGTTCAATCCTGAGCAGCCGGCCTTTGACCTCCGCAAACTCAGACCCCCGAACCCTACTTATCGAACAACATGTATACATCCTATGACTACAACGTTGGGACCAACCACCGTATTCCTCCCCGTCAAAAACTTGCACCTCCCTGTACGCCAACTGCTAATCCTTCATCCACAACAAGGCACGCTTGCCTCAAACGCCAAACCCACAGCTTCAATCTAAGATTGGAAGTATGTGTCTCCTTAATAGGGGACCTCTATACCCCCTTGTTCCCCAATAGTTACTCAAACTGAGGGGCCCGCGTGTCCTAAGATAGTTCGCGTGTCGCAGGGCCAGCACCCACTGCAGCCCTCGCCAGCGCAGGCAGGTTGGTTAGCCGGAGTAACTTACATAATTACGGCACGCTACACATCATGTACTTTACCTATTGTATGTGTTAGATTACCTATATTGATTTGACTTTTTGATAGCCTGGGTATGAAAAGTAAACCTGATACAAAAAGCAACCGTCCCACTAAGATGCATGTCGCTGAATTGAAGTTTGATTTCAGCTCTCCTGTGAGAACTCCGCGCGTGTCCTTTCTTCCCTAGGGCTCCTCTTCGCATGTACTAAGCAAAGCCCTACGCCCTACGCGCTAAGCCCCAAACCCTAAAACAATTGTTCAGGGCTTGCGGGTTGATCTTAAGGCCGCGAGATTTTTGCGTTTGCGCTGTCGATATGTGATTGTTGTTGGTGACACGGTGACCTAGAGCGGACCTAAAGTTGTGAAGCATGCGAGCTGTCTTGCCTTGGGTTTGTGCCGGAAACGCTCCAGTTGCCTGCGATGGGATAGCTCATTAATTAAACGTGAGGGTGTGGGGTTGAGGCGGATCCGCTAGAGGGAAGCGCAGCTGATCCCCAAAGACGCCGTTTCTGCCTTTGTATGCTGAATCCCCTCCCATACCTACATGCCCTAAACTAGAAGCCTCGGGGCCGAATCCCAGGCCTGAGCCCCCCCCAGGACCACATCAACAGCCCAAAGCTCCCAGCCACGCTCTGGAATGGTATTTGTGCAAATCTTGAGCCCCGTGCCAGCCTCAAGCGGCTTCAATCTGGAAAACCAAGCCCCAATAATGGAGGATCACATGGAAACTACTACTTTAATCGCATGGAACCCCAGACAGCACAGGCCACTTTTTCTCGAGACAGAATTCTGGAGCTTCTCGGCAAAGTGCATGTTAGTTTTTGGGACAGTGCCGGAGAATGGAAACAGGATGGCTCGAGCTTAGCTCCCTTCTATTCAGGCTTACCCCAGAATCCTAGATACCCCGGGAGCCCTAAATCTTCTAAGTTCCCCGAACACAGAGAACCCCAAACCGAACCAAAACGACCAGGCACCCAATGGCGTGGATCCCACAGGTAGGGGCTCCCAGCTGCCCAAGCTGCTGTTTCAACTGGTTAGCTGTTAAGAAACATAATTTAAATATAATATGCGTACATAGTAATAATGTTCCTTATGCTATTGCAACTCAGTTTAAATTCCTTAGCAGCAACTCAGTCAAGGGGAAAACAAGTTTATGAGCGGCTACGCAAGGAGATCACATGTAGAGTTTGGGGTTTGGAGCTTTTCAGCGACTGGGGCGCCCCAATGGACCCGAAGGGGCTCCTAAGAGGATTAGGGGGTCCTTGTGTCCTTGTCATGACATGTAGATAGATACATAGATAGATAGATAGATAAATAGATAGATATATATAATATATATATATATTCATGCACACGCACACACATTTGGGCTTTGAGGGTTTCGAGCTTTGGATTCTTGGCTTGAGGGCACAGGTTTACGGTTTAGATTTCAGACTGTAGGGCATTCAGGGTCGATGGTTCAGGGTTTGGAGTTTGGGGTTTGCGGCTGTCAGACTCAAGGTTAGATACAAGTTTTAGGCTATGCGAGGGGCTCTGGGTCAGGGGTCAAGGGCTTTAGGGCTCAGGGTAAGCGGTTTGAGGTTTGTGTTCTGCAGCTACACGGATGTGCAGGCTGCAGCCAATCTTCAAGCCAAAGCCCTAACCCTTGGTCCCTTAACCCTAAGTCTTAAACCTTAAAGCCCAGCCCAGACAGACGCGAAGGACTCTGCATCTCTACCACTTTCCTTTTTTCTAGCTTAGGCTCTGGTTGACACGTGTCTTGACAGGAGGCAGAAGACAGCGAAGAACCAACACAGGCAGTGCTTACAAAGGAGAGCTCAAACTCCAAAACTTTGATCTTGAATCTGGAACCCTGAACCCTGAGTCTGAGACTCCATGTGGTAGTTTCTCAAAATAGGGGGACCCCAAATAGATCCAAGAAAAACTCTGACCCTTCTCATAGGGATCCCCAGACAGGGTACCTTTAATTTTTGAAAAACCCTAAACCCCATATACCCCTATACAACCCCTACAGAACCTATATATTCCCCTTAAAGCCACCCTTAATTTTAGGACAGCCCAATGTCTCACCCCCCCCACCTAAACTCTGATCTACTACTCACGCAGGTGGTCTGCCTGCCAGTGCACCGCCCGCGGCCACGCCAAACTACAAGGCCTTGGCTATGGCTACTGGTGCTTGAGGGTTTAGGGTTTAGGGAGAATGGGGGGCTTGCATCCCGATACTAGGGCCTAATACTCAGAGGATCTCTGTGGAGCCGCTAAGGGGGGGGGCGGTTCAGGAATCTGTTTATAGGAGTCCTTGCACCCCTGAAACCACCCGCTGAGAAACTCTCGGAATCCTTGGTCCTATTTGAAGTGAAAGCCCTGAAGTCCTCAAACCCTGAATGCTGCTGATGGTGCGTGTAGAGCCCTTAAGATGAACGTTGCAGTCACGTGATCATCCCCAAGCAACCTCTTCCGCCAGTTTACGGGTTTAGGGGTTCAGGGTTTGACAGAGGTTTACAGTCTCGGGGCCTGGGGGCCTGGGGGCCTGGAGTTGAGAGGCCCTAAAACCTAAAGGCATTGTGTTGGGAGTATGCTAGGACTTGGGCTGAGGGTATACAGTTGTCGGTGAAAAACTTCTGTACTCAAGGAGACAGTTTCAGGTGTAGTCACGGATGCTTCGGGCGGCAGTGAAGATATTGATTGTCTTACCTTAAACGGTTAGGCTAAACCCAAGATCTTAGATACTGCTTGCATTGTAGCTTTGCGTCCTACACCTTAAAGCCCCGCTGAAAGTTTTCTCCCAGTTGCTCCGGAGGATCCTCCTTAGGTGCCCCTGTAGGCTTCCAGTTTTTTGAGGGGATCGATAGGGTTCTGGGTTAGAGAGCTATATGAGGAGAGTCCAACTTCATGTTGAACGGGAAGTTCCGATGAATCCTAAACATTTGTTGCAGGGACGCTGGACATCATCCTGTGATGTAGATCTAGGCCCCATTGAGCTGGGTGCAGAAGTTTAAGACTTCGGATTGAAGACATGGCTTCCCTGTAACACCAAATGTCCGCTGCTTAGCGGTCATAGCCTTCTAGTTTTAGTACAAACGGGGTCAAAGATCACAGGCATGGTGCAGCAGGATCCAAAGCACCGGGAACCAGAGTCAGAA